CGCTGGCTTGCACTCAATCCATCTCTCCCACCCAGTCAGTTTGATGGTGAGTATGACTTCATATATGAGTTGCATGAGATGGAGCAGTGGGTGCTTGACGCTGACTTGTCAGACTAGCACCCACTGCTCCATGGGAAGGGCAGATAGGCCTTGTGCATGCATTCTGCATGTGCCTGTTGCCTGTTTGGTGTGTGCTGTGGACAGAGAAGATGCCTGGTTGCGCCGGAAGGTAGCGCCGGGCTTAGGGACAGGTGTCTCGTCAAACCCTTAACCAACCAACCCCGTCCGTCAACGTCGGGTTTAGCTAAACCCTAAGCCAAACCCTAAATCCATCCAGCGACCGGGTTGCGAAAGCATCGTGCGCACAGGTGAGAGAATACCGCAGGAGAGTGATGATGCAGTACAGAAACCATTCATGGCGCCGCTCAACTTAAGTTGCCGTTCGGCTCATGGATCTCGCGTGGATCTTGGTGTTCAGGCACGACCAACCGAGGACTGCGGCAGGCAGCACTGGAGCGGTGCCGTGCCATCCATCATGCGCAACCCGCTGGTCATTCTGGCAGCCATCCTCCTGACAGTAGCCGTGCTGCCTGGCATGTGCACCTCATCAAGTGGGACAACTCAGTGCCGGGGAGAGTCAAGGAGCGATGGTCACTGCGGCAGCTTCGACTTCACGCACAGGTGGGTGCTGACGGACGGACTTACAGATGGAAAGTGGTATGCAATCAGGGTCACAACATCATGCTTGTGTGTGTGTGTGTGTGTGTGTATGTGTGCTTTGGTTGTTTAGCGTGTGTGCGCACATCAAGAACACCGACTTCTTCGCCATGACGGGCCAGTACGACTGGAGTGACGAGATAAAGGAGCCGGGCTACTGGTGGGTGGGGGCCTGCCTCTTGCAGCTTAGTCAGTCGACCTCACGATTGTACCTACCGTTCGGTCTGTGTGTTTGGTGTGTCTGTGCAGGTGCATCTGCATCCACAAGTGTGCGCAGTACGTGGACGTCACGGGCTCCCTCGAACTGTCCATTGACTGCGAGGCGACCGACTGGTGCAACGTGTGCACCAACCAGGATGGCGGGCAGGACACCTCTGAGTGCACCAATCATCTGCTGGCCAAGTGCGGCAAGTCCCGCTGCCGGGATCCCTGTGCGGCAGCTGCACTCTCCTGACGGACTTACTTACTGAGTGGGTGGGAGGGCGGGGAGGGCGGGCCCGCCATGGCCGTGTGTGTCTGCAGAGGGCTGGCTCGCTTGTATGCTGGTGTTTATCGTTGGTGCCTGGGGTACCGGGGTGATGGACGGAACTTGTGAATGGATGGATGGATGTCAATGGATGGGCGGGTGACGGTTGGGAGAGGAGGGAGGGAAAGGTTCGGGGGGAATGTATGCGTCCTTCTGGCATCTTGACTGACGGGTGGGCAAGTGGGTGTTTTTGTCCGCCGTCTTCTCCATCCTATCCCTCTCTCTGTGTGTGTGCTGGTGCTAGAGTGGGTGCGTCTGTCAAATTTGAGTCGCGTGATGTGATAGATAAGGTGAGAATCGAGAGATGCTCGCGGTCGCCTGTATCGTGTCGTATTGGCCTGCTGCTGATGGATGGCTTTGTGTCGATTGAGCAGCGTGTCCGTGCGTCTGTCTCGTCCTGCATGTCTTTCCTCCCTCTCTTCTTGTCTCCCCATCCCTCCCTCCCTCCCTCCATGTCTGTCTGTCTGTCTATCATGGACAGAAAGATTGCCTTCGAGCCCTGGACACATCGGCGCCGGGTAGCAACGGTACCGTAAAGGTACCGTAGTTCCGTATGGTCTAAGCAGAGCACAAGACAGGTTGTATAGCGCAGCCTCATCGGTTACCGGGGTAGAGCAAAGTCGAAAGTCGTGAAACTGAGGAGGAAGGTCTAGCGGCCGATCTGTGATGGCGTGAGCAGGCGTCTTCCCTCTCATGGAGAGTACCAAGCGTGGCCGAGGTGCCTCCTTCACCGACCCGTCGACGACCGATCTCCCTCACCGAGCTTCACGCCGGAGGATGCCGCGCGGCGACGAGGGCGAGCGGGCAGCCAGAGGCACCGCCTCCCTTGCCTGTGGCGGCTGTGGCGGCACTCCCAGCACCAGCAGCGCAACCCCGGTGGAAGGCCATCACCCGCCAAGCGTGGGCGGCAGCAGTGGCGTCGACGACTCGCCAATGAGGAATATCGTGGAGGAGGTGGCCATGCTGCACCTGTCGCCCGTCAGGGAGGGGTTAGCGGACGACGGGCGGTGGGCGGATCAGCCACAGCCACCACCACCACCCGCAGGGGCGTCTGCGGCGGGTCCGAGTGAGAAAGCGAGGCCGTGCGCCTCCGCATCCTCGGCTCCGTGCAGGGGGTGGCAGTGCCCTCCCTCTTCATCGGCGTCTTCGTCTGCACCGGGGTGGTCGAGCGGTGCTGTTGGGCGACATGGCGAGAACGAGGAGGGGCAGCTGCCTTTCGAGATCTTGTTCCTCGTGTGCTTCTTCCTAGACGGCAAGGTCGGTGGGGTGGCACATTGGGGGGGAACACCCACCGTGGTTGGTGTTGGTATGTGTGTGTTGATGTGATGTGCCTGTGTCTGTGGTGTCCCGCTGGCTGTGCGGCCAGGGTCTGGCGTGTTTCGGTACGGTGAGTTCTTTGTGGCAGTCGGTGTCGGGTGTGCATCCGTCGTGGCAGGAGCTGGTGCTCAAGGACTTCGGCTTCAAGTACGAGAACCTCGTCATGTACACCGGACAAAACGACTGGCGACTCCTCTACGCACGGTACGTACGGTGGGGTGGGCTACCTAACCCACACACGCACCCATAGCATAGCATACACACAGACAGACACCGACCCACCGCACCCACCATGAACAGAACAGGCCTCCCCTTCTTCGCTTTGTTGTTTTTGTTTTGTCTTTCAGTGTAGCTGGATTCATAGCCAACCTGCGCAACGGCACCCCCGTCAAGACGGTGTGGCCCCAGCTGCTGGAGCCCCTCACGGGCGTCGACTACGAGGGCGCCGTCGCCATGAGCGCAGACACATCGCTGCTCCTATGGGAAAACGGTACGCACACGCAAATCCATCACATAAATCCGCAAACAACGCATTCTTGATGAAGGAAGGCGTCTCTGCTGCTGCTGCTCGGGTGTGTGTGTGTGTGTGTGTGTGCAGGTCGTGTGCTGCAGGTGGTAGACATGGAGGAGGGCCGTACGCTGTTCACCAAGGAGATCGACCCCGAGCAGTACCCGCGCAACCGCGAGACCCGGCCCTGCATCGTCAACACCAAAACACGGGTCAGACAGTGAGTCAGTCAGACAGACAGCGAGGGAGAGAGGGGAAGAGAGACCATAGAGACCATCCGACCGGTGAGCACGGAAGAATTGTGTGGGTGCGTTGGTTCCTTCAGGCGTTTGTGCATCTGAATGGCGACATTCTGGTGTACGACTTGCGGACCGGTGAGTTCGTGCGGAAGCTGGAGATCCCCGACGGCACGCAGCTCGAGAGCAACGACTTCGCACTCGACATATCCATTAGAAACGACCAGGTGCGGGGCGGGGCGGGGCGCTCGTGCGTGGGGGCACGTCACGCACAGAGAGAATGTTTATTCATTTCCTGTGTGTCGCCATGTCGCCAATTGAATTGGCGTGCGTCAGGTTGCGTTTTTGGCGATTGATGCGCTGTACATGTGGAATTCCGAGACGCTCGAGTTCCTCTACAAGATCAGACACGGCGAGAAAGTCAACGGACCCAACCACTTCACACAAAACGTACACAACACACACGACAGACACACCCACCCTTCCATCCATCCACCCACCTAGCCACAATTCAATGCCTCTCGCCCTGTGCGTGCGTGTGTGTGTGCCGGTTGCCATCCATCATGACATCAGATGTCAGAGGAGTTGGATTTCCTGTGGGCGGGATACCAGTGGGTGGATGACGACAGCCTTGCCGGCGCCGCGGCGTTCGAGGACCCCGAGGTGCGGCAGCCCCAGCGGCTGTGCCGCAAGAGCGCCAACGTCGTCACGTGGCTCAAGCGGGCCGGCTACGAGATCTGCATCTTCGACATCGCCAGTGGGCGGCTCCTGCAGAACCTCAAGGGTGGGTGGGAGCGGAGGGAGGACGGGGGAGCGGCATGTCATGTGGTGCGGTGGGTGCATGGGATGGGTGTGTCGGTGGATGGAATGGACCTGATCAGGTCACACGCATGAGGTGGTTCGGGTGCGTCAGACTCCAAACCCATACGACTCCAATGAGTACTTCCTCGCGTCTCTGGTATGGATGGCCACTCACAGACAGACAGACAGACGGGGAGGCCAAGACGTGTGTCTCATCTGTTGTGTGTGTGCCTTGCCTGATGTGATGTGGCTGTGTGTCTGGTCTGCTGTCTGTGTGCAGGACACGTTGGGTACGGTATGTGTGTGGGACAGCAGCGGCGAGACCTTCCCGTGTGTGTACGTCCTCAAGACCAACAACTCCCTCTCCTTCCGCCTCTGCCTCACGCCCTCACACCTCATCACACTCTCAGAGAACACACATGGGGACGCCGCACCAGAACAAGTCGAACTCAAGATCTGGAAGTAAGCACACAAACCCAACAACACACACACACACACACACGCGGATGCCCTCAATCCACATCACATCGGTGTTTGCTCGTTGTTTGTCACACTTTACAGGTTTGACCCTCCCCGTCCGAAGCGACGTCTGCAGCGTTTCCGCAAAGGCGGCCCGTCCCTCCCCCCCGTCACACCTCGGCGCGCCCCCCTGTCGAGCAAGGCCCTCGCCGACATGCCACTGGAGGACCCGCCATGCTCACGCTACGCCCCGCCATCCAACGTCGTGTCGAGCGCCTCCCGGCAGTTTTTCGCTAACCCCCTGTCGGCCATGGAGGCAGCAACCATCGCCCGGGAGGACCGCAGGAAGGGGCACAAGGCGACCACCAAGGACGGGCGGGGTTCGGGTGCGGCGAGCAGCTTCATCGAGAAGGTCAAGGCGGGGCTGAGGAAGGTGGATCGCCCGGTGACTCGGGAGGGGGGCATGGTGGGGGGTGGGGGGCCGACTGTGGCGGGGTCGACGGCCACGCGTGTGGTGAGCCGGCAGCCGTCGATATCCATGACGCGCACGTGCACGGCAATGTCTGACGACAACGAGTCAGACAGCGCCCCCATGACGCCGAGGTTTGGCGAAGAGGGCGATGGCGATGGAGATGGAGACGACCACATGGAGGACGATGCCCATCCACCACCAAGGGCCATGTCGAGCCGCTCGTCCACGCGCGACGAGGAGCTGCCGCCACTGCACGGTGAGCGAGAACGAGGGAAAGAAAACCATTCACTCTCGCTCATGTGCTCTCCTTGCGTTGGTCCGTGTCGCTTGCAGTGTCTCTGCCCCCCATGCCACCAGGCGGTGGGTGTGTGTTCCCGGGCGGTTCGCCATCCGACGAGTCGAGCCCTTCGTCCGTCGCCCGCTTCCCGCAGCACCGCGGCCCCCCTCGCCGCGTGTGGCAGAAGCGGCAAAGGAAGCAGCCCGACAGTCTCCCGAAGAAGGACGTCAAGGATGCCAGCGGCTCCGGCTCGTCTGGGAAGGCCACTCGTCCGGTGCTGTACGACTTGCGGACGACTGAGCTGCGCAACGACGTGTATTTCGCGGATGTGATCGACAACCAAATTTTGGGGGTGTGGTACTCGACGTCGAGGCCGGGGTCTGCCGAGCCGTGGAGTCTCTCCCACTCTGACTGGGAGGTCTACACCGTCCTCTCGGTGAGTGAGGGAGCTGAGCACGCCACAGATGGCGAGCGACGTACCCATATACGTGGTGTCTCTCTGTGTGTATCTCTGTGTCTGCGTGTCTTTTGTCAGGATGCGGATGTGGCAGCGATGGATCGCGAACACGAGCAGATGCGCAGGAACCTCGAAGAGGCCTTCGTGCTCTCGGAGCGATACCCGCCCCAGACGCCCCCACGGCCTTTCCGCCGCAGCACGCCCTCCTCCCTCGTCAGGACGCACACCCACCGCTTCTTCAACCCCGCACTGCTCACGCCCCCAGATCATGGGCTCGCGCGCCACCGCGGCCCGTTTCGCGGCGCCAATCGGGTGTCCCCGCCCATGCCGCCAGTCCTACAGTACTTCCAGAGCTACTATGGGTCGCGAGTGAGCCCACACACGCGTGCTGCCCCACCGCAGCGGCACCGTCTGGCCCCCCAGCCATCGTCGGGGGGCGTCTTCTCGCCATCGATTGGGCGGAGGGATGCCCATGCCTTCCTGGCGCTGCAGCGGAGTATGACCACACCCCCTTCGCAGTTCCCCAGCGTCATGAGCATGTCGCCCTCCGCGAGCGTGACGAGCAGCCAGGGCGGGCCGCCGCTCCCGTTTCCCCCGGAGCTGCCGCAGCCCCCCGTCGCCCCTCCCTATTCACCGGTGCCGCCACGCCACTCACACCGGCCGGTGCCCCTCCCCTCTTCTCTCATCGGCATCCCCCGCCCCATCCCCCCTCCCCCGTCGCTGGCCATCACCCCAATGGACGGGGCGTCACCCGTCGGGTCACCACTTAGCCACGCGTGTGCGGCCGGCTCGAGCATCGCCACCACGCCTGATGCCATGCGGCCAATGGCCTCGCCGGCAATGGAGCAGAGCACCACGGCAGCTGCTGCTTCTGCTTCGGCTAGTGCTGGTGTGGGTGAGATGGGGGCTAGCAGCAGTAGCAGCAGCAGCAGCAGCAGTGTGGGAGTGGGAGTGGGTGTGGGAGTGGAAGTGGAGGTGCAGACGGATCCTGCCGAGCTGGTCTTGACGTCCCCGCTGGTGAGGCGGCGGCTCATGCAGCGGCTGCGCCATCTGCAGCAGCAGGATGACGGGGCCAACGAGCCTGTGGGGCACCTGTACCTCGACAACAGGTAGGTACACCTGACTGACACCGAAAAGGATATGTATCGGTTCGTGTCGATGTGTCTCTGCGCATGTGATGTAGGCGTGCGTTTGAGATGCGCAACCGTGCGGACACCTGGAGCCTCCTCGACTGGAAGTCCGTGTCCATCGAAGATGACGGGTGCGCCACGGAGAGAGACTAGGGCAGCTCAGCCAACTAGCATAGCGCGACTGATTGGTCATGTGGTTGGCATGCTATGCGATGCCATGCAGTACTTTGGTCATCTACGACTTCTGCCCCATCTCTGAGGACCCATGGCGCAAGCGACAGGAGCGCTCCAAGCCCCACCAACCAGCTGCCGTGACGCAGGCTGCTCCTTCATAGGGAGCGAGACGAGACGATACCTCAGTCAGATGCCATCCCATCCACCGGTGGATCGAGGCACGCAGCACGCACTCGGAGTTTTTGTGTGGATGGCGTGGCATGGCATGGCATGGTCGGCCGAGAGGAGCTCGGCCGGCACAGAGGGGCTGGGAGAGATGGCGCCACAGGTAGATAGGTGCATCTGCCTGCCCTGCTGGATAACAGTCAGGCTTGTCGTTCGTGACACTGAGTTTGTTCGTCCCGCGCCACAAGCAGCAGAGAGAGAGAGAGAGAGAGAGAGAAGGGGACACTCTGCACGGGTTTTTCCCCATGGCTGACGGACGGATCGGAGTGGAAGTAAACGCAGTGGTGTCTGCCTGCCTGCCTGCCCGACAGCTAGCTAGAAGTGTGCTGCCTGCCTGCTGCATCCGTGGGTGTCGTTTTGTATTGTTTCGGTCGGTTTCGTTTTACGTCCCAGTGAGAATGTGTTCGGCGCGTACAAATCCTCACGGCGACCCACCTTGTCCGTCGCAGGCACGCTGCTCCATCGGTGCACACTCACTCCGAATGGGGCAGTCTGCTTGCTCCTGATGAGGCCAGTTGGTGTGAGGGGCAGGATGTGCCGGGCACGTGCGCATTGGCTCAGCAACGGGGCTGAGGAGGGAGAGGGAAGACAACAGGCAGGGGCAGGCCGGCAGATGTGGTGGTTGTCGTGACGAGCGGTGGGACGGGGGGAAGTGACCCGATGGATGGATCAGGTAGGTATGTGTCATGCATGTGTTGGGTGGGTGCATGTGATGTGTGTCCATGCCATGTGATGTGTGCGTGTGTGTGTGATGGAACTGACGCGCCAAGCCATTTTTATGGTGATGTCATGTGAGTCTGAATGAGTGAGTGAGTCTGGGTGAGAGAAAGGAGGGCGGCTTCCTTCAGCGAGCAGTGAGGGAATGATGGATGCCTATCTTGTCGTGCCTTGCTTGCCTTGCCTTTTCTGATCCGTCGATGGAGGAACACGGTTTTTGTTCATAGCCATGCCATGCGACCAAACGGACGTGACCACCCAACCAAGCAACGCATCCTGACCATCGTCCCGATGACCGACATTGTGCACTTTCAATCAACAAGGGTTTGATTAACGGCTCTCTTGGTTTCGAAACCGGGTCACTCATTGCTTGACATCGAGATGAACAAATCTGCTGACTGAACGGATAAGTCCCGTGGGGGGCAGCTCACGCAGCCATCATCCATCCATCCATCCAGTGTCCATCATGGCAAAAGCAAATCCAACCATAACAGTCCGTGTGCATCTACATTGTGTTTGTCGTGTGATGGTTCGTGCGTCAATTCATCCATCCCTCCCGCCCCGCCGGCCCATGCAGCGGCCCCCATGTCTGTCTTTGGACAGCCAATGGGGAGACAAGTGGAAGAAGAAAAGTCACCGCTGCACAGAGAGCGCAGGCTTGGGGGGACATCACTCTGTGTCTGTCTGCACAAATGACATCGGATCTCTCTCTCTCGAAAAGCATCTCAGAATTAGCGCTATCGTCCATCAGCTAGCGGGGCCGGCCAAATTGTCAAAGCGCATCGGCCATCAGTGCCCTCCTGCCATCCGCCCACTTCACTTCACATCACATCACACCACTACCCACCCACAGATAAACGACCGACCCATCTGTCTAGTCACACACACACACCCATGCGCACACGCAAACACACCAACAGGCACCACCCATCCCTCCCCTCCCCCCTACCCACCCTCCTCCCTCCCATACAGCTAGCTCCCTCCTGAATCACCACTTGTCGCCGGTGGCCTGGTCGATGACGTACGCGGCGACGTCCTGGATGTCCTCCTCGGACAGCCTGCCGCCAAACGCCGGCATGGCGTTCTTGCCGTTGGTCACCTGGTAGATGACCTTGTCCACCGTGTTGACGCCGTACGTCTCAAGCGCCTCCTTCTTGAGCGTCTTCTCGGCCTGCACCACGTTGTTGCCGCCAGCATGACACGCCGCACAGTTGCCCGAGAAGATGATCTCGCCCAACTCAGGGTCCCCGGCCGCGAAGGCAGCCTGAGGCGCGATGGCCGACATGAGGCCGAGGGCCATGGCTGACACGAGCGGCGCCATCTTGGCGCCCTCTTCGCAAGCTGACCGGGCCTCATCGGCATCAGTGCCGGGCAGGGCACCCATGAGGACGGTCTGGCACTCCTCGACGAGCGGTGTCCTCTGCGGTTGTGACGCAGTCCGCTGTGCCCTCAGGATGTTGCCGCCCAGGGGGGACACGAAGGCCTCATTGGCCGAAGCAGCCACCAGTGAGAGGGTCGCGAGAACGGCGAAGAGCTTCATTGCGCAGATAAGGGGAGTGGCGGGAATGAACGCAGGTGTCTGTGGGTGGGGGATTGCCGTCCAAACTCAAGTGCGGGGAGGCAGGAGAGGAATCGTGCGAATCACTGGTCGAAATTTGTAAAGTCACATTGGGCTAGAGCGCAGACACCTCGTCAGTCCTCACGATGGGTTTCACAGGTTCGTGCAAAACCGCAGCTCAGAACCAGCCGGTGAGGTGCTGCTGATGCGTTTCCAAGACGGCTTCGGCAAGAGAAAACGACTCGGAGCTGCTCTGTGCATGAAGCTGAAGAGCTGATCCGATCCACGTGCTGATCTATCTGGGGTTCCACAGATCAGCAGCTGCTGATGCAGATGCTCTGACACAGACGGCTTGCGGAGATTGGGAAGCTCTTATCGCTGCGGGACCCGTTCGTCGTTCGAGAAAAGGATGATCTCGGTGATGGGTGGCTCTCGCGTCCTCTATCTCGTTGCGGCTCTCCTGGCGGCCTTGCCACTGCTCGTTTCCAGCAAGGAGAACTTCAACGTCGAAGTCGAGTTGATCTCGCCATGGCCGTCCGTCTCCCCCGTGGCCGAGCTGTTCGAACTCATGACCGACTTTGACCCACACGAGGCCCTCTCCTTCCTATACGACCTCACTGAGGCCGCCCAGGCCGCCCCCGCCACGTCGAGAATCGACATCGCATTCGACACGTTGCAGCGCTTCATCAAATCGCCCCTCACCCTGACCTTCCTGGACATGTGTGCGAGCAACCACCTGCACTCGCCCAAGGTGGAGATGTTCCGTACCCTTGAGAGGGACGCCTTGGCGCATTTCCCCGGGCTGATGCATCGCTGCAACTCGTCATGGGCGATCGTGCACCCTCCCGCGTGTGACGGCGGGGTGCCCTCAGGGATGCCCATATCGGCTTGCGACCCGGTTTCCCTCAAGGAGGCGGTCTCGCGCGTCGACCGCACAGTCAGCGCCCACATGGATAGGGCCGACTCTCCGTGGTGCACCATCGACTACCCCTATGGCTTCACCGTCGTCAAACACCACGAACACTTCATGCGGCGGCCGGCCGTCAACCAGACGGGCAGGCCTGTGGGGATGGTGGTTGTGTACGGTGACCTGGAGGACCCGTCAGTGGACGGCATGGTGTCGGCTGTGCGTGCCATGGTGGACGAGTGGGATCGGGCAGAGGGGAGCATGGGCATGGGCATGGAGTGGGGGGCGGTGTTCAGACACGGCGAAATGACGTCGAGCGCCAGGCGGCCGGGGAGGTATGACTATCTGTCTGGCTTTGGGATGGAGCTGGCGGTCAAGAGCAGCGAATACAAGGCGGGTCAGTGAGGGAGTGAGGGCATCGATGCACTGAGAGGAGGGGTCACATGGTCATTGGTGTGACTTTGTGTGTGTGTGTGGATGGATGGATGGATGGATCAGTTGACGAGAAGGATGTGGATCAGAAGGGCGGGATGAAGGCTGAAGACGACAAGGGTGACAGGGATGACACTGACGATGACGAGGCGGTGGAGGACGCTTTGCAAAGGGAAAAGGAATCACTCACAGACAATAACGGTACACACACACACGCGCACACACACGGCCAATCGAGAAGGGTTGACGACCACCCATGGTCTGTGTGCAGGTGAGGGTCTTGAAGGTCTTCTGTTCGCGACACTCGGCAGCCGGTATCCCTCCCTCACTCCCCACCTGGCGGCCTACCAGGAGTCCCTCGACACTGAGCTCGACTCTGATGAACTGCTCAAGGCTTGGCAGCTGGAGAAACTGGGTCAATTCGAACACACCATACCATACATACCAATGACGAAGTCAATTTACGTGCTTTGCTGTTGTCTGCTTCCTTCTGTCTGTCATGGTGGTGCAGGTCTGCAGGCGGTGAGCAAGGCCATGTCCAGCACCAACCCCCTCTACACTCTCATCCAAATCGGACAAAACTTCCCCGCACAGGTCTGTCTGTCTGTAAAGGAAGGGTACACACGCAGACAGACACTGGAGCCCGTCACCCGCCAACATCTCTTCTCTGCGGCAGGCCCTCCGTCTGTCCAAAGTGTCGGTGCTGCCCACGGTCGAGAAGGCCCTCAACCGGCTGCACCGGCGTGTCTACGAGCGGTCGACCTTCCTCTCACTCAACGGCCGCTGGGCGAGGCCCTCCGACCTGACTACCCTCCAGCTGCTCAAAGACCTCGGCCCCGTGTTCCTGGGACTGGAGCTGCTGCAGCGGCTGGGCCTGCCGTCCACTGCCGCCGTCAAGCTGCTGTCGTCCTCTGCGCGGGGGATGGAGGCGTCGCGGGTGGACTGGCGGCCGCGGAAGGACGAGGGGGGGAGTGTGGGTGGCATGGCGGCCATCTTCGATGTGACGAGTGACGAGGCGACGCAGGACTGGTACGACCTGTCGGCGTTGCTTTACATGTGGCCGAGGAACCTGGCACCCGTGCGGGCACCCCTTTACCAAGTTGTGATGGTGATGGACCCCCTGGATGGGCCCGTGCTGTCCCTGGCCGGCAAGATGCTCATGCGGCGACTGCCAATGAAGCTCTGGTTCGCATTCGTCCCGTCGACAGAGGAGCAGCCCGACGCGACATGGGACGAGGAGCTGCTCGGCGCCCCGCCGGCGTGGGTCGTGGCAGCGCGTGACGCCATCCCCTCCGTCGCCCCCTCATCCAGGTCCCCCGCCTTCATCTCGCGCGTCATTGCCGAGTGCTACGGGCAGCTGCTGAAGAAGGGCAAGTACAAGACGCAGAAGAACGCGCGAAAGTTCGTGTCGTCGCTCGTGAGCCTGGTCACCTCCCAAGAGAAAAAGCAGAAGAAGGCGGCCGCAAAGGACACCAAGGACACACCCCCATTGCACTCACAGCAGGCCCCCACCACCCCGCCCACCCTGACCGAGAGCGAGATCAAGAAGGTGTTCGTGAGCTCTGGCGGGGATCAGCCCCTGTGGGACACCATATGGTCCGGGAAGGTGCACCAGTACAGCGACGGCATGGCGGCGTACGTGGCGGAGAAGGGCCTGCAGAGCGGGACAGCGATGGTCAACGGGCGGCTGGTGGGGCGGGACCGGCTGCTGGCCACCGACAGCGACCCCTTCATCAGGTACATGCAGTACGACCAGGAAGAGTTCCAACGGGCTCTCATGACCGGTGCGTTAGGCACAACACACACTACACACGGCCCGCCCCACGACGGGACACTCTCACTGCTGCTGTGCTTGGGTGTGCAGGGTGGCTGGATGAGGACACCGACCCAGCGGAGGCGATTCTGACGGACGGCGGCTTTCCCTCGGCCTATCCCGGCATCGTGCCGCTGCCAGAGGACGCCGAGGAGAACGCGCCACCAGAGGTGGCTGCTTCGACTATCGGTGAGAATTGACCCATTCAAGAAGACCGCGCGTGTGTGGATGTGTATGTGAATGTGTATTGTTTGTCGGGCCTGGCAGGCCCCGCGACCATCTCTTATGCCAATGTTGACGCGGGGCTGCTGAGACAGCTGCCGTGGGTCGAGGCGGAACCCGAAAGGTACGCGCGTGAGCATCGCCACCATTCGTCCTTCCATCCATCCATCCATCCATCCATATGTGTCTGTCTGTGTGTCTGTATATATCAGCACCAAGGACCCCCTGCTGCCCGTGCTGCACACCCTCATCCTGCCCCTCCCCTCCTCATGGTGGACCCTCCTCGACACCTTCGCCGACCACCTGCTCGACCTGCAGAAAAGGACCGACACAAAGGACCCCCACGCCGTCAAATCCCGACTCGCTATCGTCGTGGCAGACTCTCCTGACGACCTTCCAGCAGCAGCAACAGCAGCAGCAGCAACATCGGTTCTGCGCGCGTGCCTGCAAGTGGCCATGCGGACAGATGATGCCGCAACCGCCATGGACGAGGAGAACGAGGCCTCTGTTAGCGCGCGTGAGAAGCTCAAGTTCCTGCGCTACCTTGGGATGACCGGCCGGACGGCTGGGGCCATCAAGAGGAGGGCGGGGATGGGTGAGCTGAGTGCGGGCGAGGTGGGGGATCTGTGTCGGATGGGCATGGCCAAGAAGATAAACCCCGCGGCGAGCAAGAGGCTGGTCGGGGAGTTTGACAAGGTTGTCAAGGGGACAAAGGGTGGTGGTGGGGTGGTGGATGGGGTGGAGGCGGAAATCCTGAGATCGGTCGACTTCGATGACGTCACTAGTAAGCGAATGAGAGAGCATAGCATCTGTGTGGAGAGGGAGGTTGTGCCATGGTTCGTTTCGTGTGTGTCAGGGAGGCATCCAGGCGAAGATGTGGCGCTGGTCCTCACCAACGGCCGCAAGACCGTCCTTCACCGGCCGCGAGACGCTGTCCCCCCTGCTGTCAGCAGCAACACGTCCTCCTCCCTCCCCGCTCCCTCCCCCCCATTCCTCCCCTGCCATGTCAGCCTGCTCGAGTACCTCGCACACACACGGGAAGGCCCACAGAGCTCCAGGGAGTCCATCACGGCCATACTCAGCAACACCACCACCGACCCCTATCTGATAGCCTCTGCGTCGGGGATCCGTGCCGCGTACACGGCGCACAACACGGATTTCTGGAGCGTGCCGGAGCAGGTCTACGAGCAGACCAAGGGGGCCATCCAGCTGCACCTCGCGCCAGTGGATGCGGAGGTGCCGCCGCCTGTGAGGATAGTCGGGGTGATCGATCCGCTCAGCAGTGTGGCCCAGGGGCTGCTGCCGATCTTTGAGATGCTCCACATATGCCTCAACGCCGAGGTAAGACGGCAAACAGAGGGACGGAGTGCTGTGGTATGGTGGTGGTGGTGGTCTCAGTCTCTCTCTATCTGTGTCTCGTGTGTGCAAGGTTCAAGTGGTGTTGAATCCCGCGACCCGCTATGCCGAGTATCCGCTGAAGCGCTACTATCGGCAGGTCATGGCATGGCCCAAGCGGGGATTCTTCAATCCCACGGGAGTCAAAGGTGCACCTTCCCCCCTCTCACCAACACACACACACACACACACACAGAGAGAGAGAGAGAAAGCCGTCCATCCATCCACTGTGTGTGTGGTTGTTTTGCCATCTCTGTATCTTCAGAGCGTGCCACCGACGTGCCCCGAGCGGTGTTCAGCGGGCTGACGACCCAGCACACCCTGACGGCGGCCATGCATGTGCTGCCCTCCTGGCTGGTGCGGGCCTACGAGGCCGAGAAGGACCTCGACAACCTGCGGCTAGTCGACCTCGGCGCACCCAACCCTTCACAAGGATGCAGGCACGCTCGCTCACACGCACCGACACCAAATGGGGGGAAAGCACACCTCTCTCTCTTTGTTGTGTGTGTAGGGGCACTGTGCGAGCGGTGTACATGCTCAACCATCTGTTCCTGGAGGGGCAGATCTACGAGTTCAACGAGCGGGGTCAGCCCCTCGGCAGCCCCGCCGGCGTCTATCTCGCGCTGCAGAAGCCTCCCATGGCCAGATTCCCCCTGCCAACCACCACCACCACCGACACTGACGCACACAACGCATCCATGTCATCACAGAACAGGACGGCCACCGACGAGCAGCAGCAGCAGCAGGAGCCGCCCCCGCTGCACGACACTCAGGTGATGCGCAATCTGGGTTACTTCCAGCTCAAGGCCAATCCCGGCGTCTTTGTGGTGGAGATTGCGTACCCCGACCCAGCCACCGACGACAACCCTCCACCAGGTGAGATAGATGAGTCCGTGAAAAGCCTGCATCTCACCGGGGGGTGTCTGTGATGTGGATGCCTGTCTGTGTCTGTGTCTGTCTGTGGCTGTCAGCTCCTGTGGAGATCTCGTCGTTCTTCACTCAGCCGCACGTCATCAAGCTGCAGAAGCCGAGTGACGCCGATGCGGCCAAGGGCGGGGACAAGAAAAAGAGCGGCACCAGCGGGCAGGAGGACAAGCCAGGGTTCTGGAAGAGCCTCACGGGGCTGTTCAAAGGTACGCACCCACCACCACGAGAGAGAATGGATGGATGATGGGACGGGTGGTGGATGGTGTATGGGTGCAGGGGAGAACAAGACAACTGACGTGAGCTCCTCCTGTCCGACGGTGCACATATTCTCCCTTGCGTCTGGCCACCTGTACGAGCGGCTGCTGCGGATCATGATCAAGTCTGTGCGGCAGAACACCCGCTGTCCGCTGCACTTCTGGTTCATCGACAACTTCCTCAGCCCCAAGTTCAGGGAACTCATCTCCTACATGGCCGCCAGGTAAGCTTGTAGACGTGCACTGCAACTGGATGGAGGCCAATCTATCCACGTGTGTTTGGTGTGCGTGTCAACATGTTATCAGGTATTCCTTCGATTACCAGTTTGTGACCTACAAGTGGCCGAGCTGGCTGAACCCCCAGACGGAGAAGCAGCGGCTCATCTGGGCCTACAAGATCCTCTTCCTCGACGTGCTCTTCCCCACCTGGCTCAACAGGGTCATCTACATCGACGCCGACCAGATCGTCAGGGCCGATGTGCGCGAGCTGTGGGACATGGACCTCAAGGGCAAGGTCTACGGCTACACGCCCTTCTGCTCGGAGGGGCCGGGGAGCAATGCCGCCACCGAGGGCTTCCGCTTCTGGAAGCAGGGCTACTGGAAGAACCATCTGGGAGACCTCTCTTACCACATCAGGTGAGAAGGTGGGGGTCTGTGGTGCGGGGGAGAGGGGAGAGTGCCTTATCTGATGGGTGTGATGTGTGTCGCGTGTGCGTTGCATCAGCGCCTTGTATGTGGTGGACCTGAAGGAGTTCAGGCGGCAAGGGGCGGGTACGCTACGCCGATCGATCTCCACTGACGTCATTCATTGCCATATGCTATGCTATTATGTGCCCCTTGTGTTGTGTGTCGGTTTGCCCACCCCACCGTGGGCTCACTCACTCACCGCACCCAGGTGACCGTCTCCGGTCGGTGTACAACCAGCTGAGTCGCGACAAGAACAGCCTGGCCAATCTGGACCAGGACCTACCAAACTACGCTCAGCACGACATACCCATTTTCTCACTCCCGCAGGTCAGCTCAGCTCAGCCACACATGACATAATGACAGACACACATACAGGACATACAGCACCGACACACGCCAGACACACCTCCACGACTCTCTCCCTCACTTTGTCTCCCTCTCTCTGCCTGTCGTGTGTGATGTGAAGGAGTGGTTGTGGTGTGAGACGTGGTGTGCCAACGAGACGATGCCGATGGCCAAGACGATTGACCTTTGCAACAACCCCCTCACCAAGGAACCCAAGCTGCACCAGGCCAAGAGGATCGTCAAGGAATGGACAGACTATGACGAGGTAGGGAGGCACCTGACCCGAGCGCCGCGACACAGAACACACACAGCTGGGAAGAGAGGGCCACACACCTTCATGAGACAGACACCTGGTGGGATGTGTGTGTGTGTGCGTGCGCAGGAGATCCGTGCGTTTGAGTTGGAAGTGGAGAATATGTTCAGTCTTGATCAGAGCAGCGTCGCCAACGACACCATCTCGGTCACCGTCAACCCCGCAGCAGAGTCCCCTACCGGCAGCAGCAGCAGGCAATCCCGGCCATCCCCCCCTCCCTCCCCACCCTCATCTGGCCAACATGAGCCACCACACGACGAGCTGTAGAGCTGTAGGTAGCCACGTGTGTGGTTCGGTGTGTGTGTGTGTTGTGGTGTGTAGACACACGGACAGACAGACAGACAGACAGACAGACGGGCAGGGGCCCCTATCGCATTCGTTGGCGCGTGAGCGCACAGCACCAGTCAGCTGCGTGTTTCTGGGTCGTCTGTGTGTGGGTGTGTGTGAGTGTGTGCGTGACTTGAGGTGTCGTGTTTGTCGTGTGTCCATCGTCCATCGCCGCCCCGCGAAGGCCGGGGGGTTTTGTGTTTGACCGATTGGCCAAACCGACAAGTGGTGGAATGAGAAGTGAGACTGAGTGGAGGAGGGGTACCGTACCATAGTGCTAACTAATTCAGGTCAGTCATGGTATGCTGGTGACTCACGGGCTGGCTGGCCTGCTGCTGCATTCGATGATGCGTGTGCATCGCATCATGATCTCTTCATGCGCAACAACCACATTGTGACGCCAGTCTTAGTTGATGGCGTGGTGCGACAGACTGTGTGGCGTGGCGCGGTGTGGTGTGGTGTCTGTGCGTGGGCATCCCACGCGTGTGTGTCGTGTGTATCAATGGCGAACGGCTATTCAAGGGACCGTAATTAATATATATTCGATGCATGCATAAACATCACTTCCCTCCATGTGTGTTGGGTCGGATCAGCAGACGGAGTGAGTGGGTCGTCGCCATCACACACAAATATAATTACGAAACACACACCACCACACCCTTCCATGCCCAGGCCTGTGCAGTGCAAGTGTCACTCATAGCTCATATACAATGAATGCATCGCATAAGCCCTCTCGACAACGGCATATATCACGGGTCAGTCACGCCTCCTCTGGTCTGTCAGTCAGTCCATTGACCCGTCAGTCAGTCAGTCAGTCATTCATTGGAACCGACATGGGCAGCAGGCCCTTGGCCTTCTTCTCTCGCAGCTGCTGCCGAAACATAGAATGCGCCTCCTGCACACACACACCGCACCGCATCCAACACCACACAAACACAGACACCCATCCCATAATAATGTCAGTCATTGCAATGCGCGTCCACATAGACATCCATCTGCCCACTTACCTCCCAGCGCTTCTGTGTGTCGGGGTCGATCTTGCGGTCCTCAATACTGTCAGTACACAGCAAATGAGCAGCACAGATCAGATCAGATCCATCGCCCCGCTCCCCCTTCTACCAGTATCCTCTCGGTGTGCCATGCCCATTATCTTATCACTCACACCTGGCCGTGTCGATTTTGGGGTCGCCCTGGAAGATGCAGCTCCACCACACAAAGAAACCGAGCTCCGCGGCTCGCTCGCTCTTCTGCAAAGTCAGCTGCACCAGCCGACGAGATGGCCTCGGTGGCGCAGACGATGCAGCGGCGCTGCCGTTGGTGGTGGTGGTGGTGGTGACCTGGGTGTCGTCAAAGTCGATGACTTCCCACGTCCAGCTGTCCTCGTCTGTCTTGACGCGATGCTCCAACGCACCATCCACCACTGCAGTGCAGTGCAGCAGAGAGGAACAGAGAACAAAGTGTGCGTGTCTGGATGGATCTCTCTGCTGTCGGCTGGCTCGGATACCTTACCTGTCTGTCCTTTGCAGGTGACGGTGAGGTGCTGCTCGTCCAGGTTGATGCGGACATCCCGCGCACCGGTGTCTGGCGGCACCATGACGCTCACTGTCAGGCCATAGCGCGACTGAGACCTGAATGAAGGGAAAGGCCTTGAGCGATGCACATCATGGCCCCTCCTCTCGTCCCTCTCCCTGACCAGTAGTATCTGTCAGTGGCCCCGCCATTCCTCGTCAGATCCGCTGGGCCAGGCCGCCTCGTTCCGCACACAATGGGAGGGCGCGTGTCGATGTCCATCGGCTCGTTAGCAGGCCACTCATCGCCTCCGTCGTCATCATCATCACCCTGATCCAGATCTTCGATTTCCTCGATCCGCGGTGGGGCGGGAGCGGCAGCAGCAGCACTTGCCGGCGGCTGGATGAGCGCCTCGTCCTTTCTACCGCCACCGAACGTCACCTTTTGCGGCGCATCGAATCTCGTGACTGTCGGCTGCCTGCGGCTGCTTTTCTCTTGCTCATCGTCGTCGCTGACGTCGATGTGGTCCCATTTGGAGTAGTCTATCGGCTTGGCCATGCTTGGGGGAAGAAAGGAAGCCGCACAAGATCGGCCGTAAGCTCGCCTTTCTCCGGGTGCTCTGTTGCGAATTCTGCACTCATTTCAGACGTGAGTGTCCTGGCGAGATCGGCCTCCTCGATAGAAGCGTCGGTTGAGAGAGAGGCCATCGCTCACAGGATTCTGCTCGACAGATCTCTCCTTGCTTGTACGGAAGGAATGGGTGACGAGAATGCATTTTGCCGTCAGTGATGCATGCCTGTGTGCTCTTCTCGTCAGCCGTGTGCGGGTGACGCCATGGCGGCTTCGGCCTCATCTTCCTCTGCTGCTATTCCGCCTCACTCAGACGTCAGCCGATACACAGAGAGGCACACATACAATCATCATTTGTCAGTGTAGACGTTTGTTTGTTTGCTTGTTTGTTTGTTTGTTTGTTTGTTTGTTTGCTTCATCAGGTGACGCCACGGTCTGCGAGTAGTCGTTACCAGGAGGGCACCCGTGTGGTGCTGCTGTCGAGCACCAAGAGGGCTCCCACCGACGACTACGTGTGGGTCACGGCAAGAGTACATCGCATCGACCCACACGTGGTCTACGAGAAGGAGGGCACTCTGCGCGAGGGGACGGCGCTGTTCATGAGGGAAGTGGGCGGCATGCGAGAGGAGTTCAAAGTGGTGGTGCCGAACAACGAGACCATGACGCTCACTCACACAAACCCACAGCCACCCGTGGTAGGCAAACACCTCAACAGAAAGATCTATGGACCCTGCTTGATGCTTCTCTTCGCTTCCTGTCTGTCTATCTGTTTGTCTGTGTGCAGCTGTGGGATGTTAGCAAGAAGGTACACGCACACAATCAGACAGCGACACACGACACACACAAACGATGTCAGCCACTCTCATGTTGCCGCCTTCCGGGTCCCTTGGTCACTTCTCTGCCTCAGGCACCTGTACGCTTTGGCGACGACCTTCTGGCGTCGTTGTGTAGCTTCATGACCCCTCGCGAGCTGTCGGCCATTCTCCCACAGCCCCGCGTTCAACAGCAGCCGCACATCACCATCAAACCTTCCACCGACGGAGGGGAAGAAGGCACCGGGTCCCCCAACAAGAAGTCTCGCAGGCAGAAGCCCATACTCAGAGAATCTGGCTGGTAAGTGCGCAGGTGGATGACAAGAAGGCATTGGTTGGATGCCAAGAGCGAGCGGTGCACCCGCCTCTGCCTCCTCTGTGATCTTTGCGTCAGCCGTCTTTCGTCCGTTGGCGGCCACGGCAGTGCTCCCTCACCCCTCTCGGCCATCACATCGTCTCCCGACCTGCCGTCGACCAATGGCGGCCCGCTCTTTGCGGGTGCCGCCTTCGGATCGTCCAATGGCGAGACGACGGCAGCGTCGAAGGAGGAGCCGGCGGACGTGGAGCTGCCGGGTGTGCCATCGGTATCATCTCTCTTTGGCGGCTTATCTCTGTCCGGCACATCAACGGGAGAGGGGGGCCTGTCGGACAGAGTTGCTGCAGCTGGGTCATCAGGCGGCGGCCCCCCTTCGCTGTTCACATTTGGCGCAGCCACAGCGGCAGCCAAACCACGGACCCGCGCCAAGCGCGTGAGTGCTGCCCGTCCGGCTGCCTCGACCTCCGCAGGCCCAGCAACCACCACCATCCCAGCCCCAGTGGACCTCTTCGACGGCACCATCCAGACACACGGTGGCAGCACCTTCGCACCTGCCAAAGCACCACCCACAGCACAGTCGACGACCACAGCCGCCAGCGGCCTATTCGACATCGGCAGGGCATCTACGCGGGGAGGAGGTGGCAACCTGTTTGGTGGCGGGGCAGCGTCGGGTGGTGGCTCTCTGTTCGGTAGAGTCGGGTCGACGGGCAGCCGGCTCAGCGGCACCGGCACAAGAACGGGTCGCACATTCGGGCAGACACCGGGGAGCGTGTTGGGCGGCAGCATCTTTGGCAGCACTGGTGAGTGACGTGGATGGATGGATGGATGGCTGGACGGATGGATAAATTGCGTGCTGGCTGCATGTGTGTGGGTCGATCAGGTGTCGCGGCGTCATCTGTCGCCCGTCGAGCGTCGTTGTCGACTGGCGAGAGCCTGTCTGGCGGTGCGGCCTTCGGTCAGCAACCATCCGGCGGCGCCGCACAGAGCAGCCCCTCCCTCATCCACACGGCCGCCCTTCACCAGCAGACCCTCATCGCTATCGACTCTTCCACCGATGCCGACCGTCAGTTCTGGGAGAGCATGACGCCTGAGGAGGCCTTCCGGCTCGGCAGGCGACTCATCAACCTCACAGCCGTCACCGTCGTGCAGCCACGCAGCGACCGGTTGTGGTGTCTGGACAACATGATAAGCGTCGTAGAGGGCCATGCGGACGGGCGTCGCGAGGCGTGCGAGAAGGAGGGCCAGCACCACATGGCGAAGGGATCTCTGGAGACCATCCACTTCACCACCACCACCAGCAGCACCAGCAGTGTGGAGCAGCACCGTCCCCCTATCCCTCCTTCATTCGCCGCCCCACGACCGACCCTCCATGCGCTCAGGGCCATCACAGGAGCCGTCCAACAGCACAGTGTGCTGGTCAACACGGGCTGGAAGATGCCTCCACTCGAGTATGTCGATCAGGAGGGGTGGGATGCCGACGAGCTGGGCCGATTTATCAGGTCGTCCTCCTCGCTGAAAGAGGTGGGGGGCTGTCGGTGGACCTGGGGGGAGTGGGCGACTTTCTTTGAGCACTTCCTTGAGGCACCTGCTGGGCAGCCAGGGCCGCTCAAGCACTTGCAAACCATCGGAGAGATCGAGTATGACGATAATGAGGAGACACCAGATCAATACCGGCAGGGGGTCCGGCGGCTCTAGGTAGGCCATGAACACACAAAGACGCCTCAACCGCCCCTATCATACGCACACACGAATGGCGTCCATCTCTCTCTGTTCCTTTCTAGGATGTGCTCACGTCGCGCGGCTGCCGCAAGTCGCTCACAAGGCTCGACGTACGGATTCCACAACTCACGGGCCACGACAGCCTCTCTGCCCTGCTCGCTGTCGACAACTTCATCAACACGTGCTGCGTCTCGCCGGACGTGCCGCTCAACGTGCGGGTCTGGCGTCTGAGCAACTTCCAGCTGTCCGTCTTCTACGCTGACGCCCTTCCCTCTCGCCCATCGCCCTTCATCAAGACGGCCATCCAGGAGGCGGCACGGCGGGCGATGTACGTGACCTACACCCTCAGCCAGTATGACATCACCCACCCCATCGACGAGCCCAGCCAGGCGGCCATCGAGATCGCAGAGAGCCTCACATTCGACAGCGTGAGGGAGGTGACGGTCTCCAGCGCCCACGGCTTCGGCCCCCCTCCCGGCACACCCTCACACCCACCATCATCAACCACCTGCAGCCGTTCCCAGCGGCCAGAGAGCTGCATGTCTTCAGCCGTCTAGGCGGTGCTGCGGGCCGTCTGTTGGCTCCGAAGATGCCCAGGGAGGTGCCGAAAGTAGCATTTGGCGCAGCTGTTGGTGCAGAGGACAGGATCGGTGTGTTGGAGGCGCTGGCGGGTGAGAGGGAGGTTTATCGTGTCTATGTCGGTGATGAGGAGGAGCCGGTCAGTCTCACGCAGGGCGGCGCCTTTGATGGATGGGGGTCGAATAATCTGCCATCGATTCGCACCGTACACGTACACATGTCAGGTATGCGAGACAGTGAGTGCTGTCGGCTGCTCCCTTCATCTCGTGTGTGCATCCCCCTTGTCTGTGTGTGTCTCCATTCAGTACCCGATGAGGTGGAAGATACTGTCGCAGGCGAGCTCATCCGCGACGGCCTGACGTCTCTGCTCGACTGCAGCGTGCAGGGCCTGCAGCAAGTGCTGCTGTGGCTGCCGGAAGGGCATGACGACCTCGGCGATGCCATTCGGCAGTGTCTGCACTCGAGAGTCGGCGACTTCGACATAACCTTTGAGCCGGATGGACCTTGGGTTACCGGCATTGAGATGAGGGCAATTCGTCGTTCTTAGGTAAAGGATGAGCGACATAGGCAGGGCGATCGATGTTTGGCCTTGCTCAGGTGTGTGTGCGTGTGTGTGTGTGTGTATGTTTGTTTGGGGCCAGGCTGTCTGTGTGTCGAGCCACAGAAGACAAGACAGCACCGTAGCCGTAGCTGCCGCATGGCCGGCCATCTGATTAGGTCCACGTGCAGACACTCTCTTGATGGATCGATGGATGGATGGATGAGTGGCCCGCCCAGAGGCGGTGTGTGCACGTGGGCACTGTACAGTTGATCCTCGCGCTCCATTGGCAGCCCACCGTCTCGGTTGTCTGGTCATGGTGACTCATCCATTGTACCAGGCAGGCCGAGAAGGTGCCGCATGGATGTGAGCGTGTGTGGATGGATGGTTGTTAGCAATGAGGCATGATAGCCCATGGATGGATGGATGGATTCATAGTGTGTGCGGAACTCGTCTGATTGTGTGGATATCTTCAATCCCATGCCAGTGCCAGTGGCTTGCCGGCATGCATGGAGGGAAGTAAGTCGATAAACGAACACATGCAACACATGCATTCAGTCATGTCAGCGCCTCAGCATTCCTCGTCCCGCCATGATTGCATACACACCCCATCCACCTTCCGAAGCACTGCAGAAGCGGCCGGCAAATCTAGACTCGCCACGGGGAGGCGTGCCACGTGGGACAAATAGAGATCGTATACACAGAGACACGCAGGGAAAAACGACGCCCCTTCTTAACTGTATGCACGTCAAGTGGATGGACACATAACTCACACACACACACACACACACGCATGTCTGTGCGATCGCCTGCCTGCCCCTCTCAACAGACCGCTGTCAGGCCGAGCGCGAGGTCATCATCAACCAGGCGACGGCACTCACCCAATGCCACCCAGCAGACGGCTGAGCACAGAAAGAGGAAGAGTGAGAGGGACGCACAACTCATCCGTTTCTGTCTCTGTTCCTCCTTCTCTTCCTCACCTGCAGTGTGTAGATCTCCATATCGGCGAGCGTGAAGTTGAAGCTGGAGGCCAGGCTGGCGAGGCCCTCGTTGTCGATGGTCCCGATGTACTTCTTGTCGGCCGGCAGGCGGTCCTTCAGCAGCCACTGAGCGCAGCGGCGAAGGTCGGCACTCTCAAAGCCCAGCCACAGGCGGCCGGGGGCCTTGTGGATCATGTCACCGATGCACACCTTGCCGACCGGCTCACACATGACGTTCTTGACCGCCCCTTGTGTGCCAGCGACCCAAACAGGCTGCTCGCCATTCGGCAGGTCGATCTTGGTGATGCCGTCCCCCTCGAAGGCACCGCACACCGAAAACAGCGACACGGGGCAGCGGACCATCGCCACTCCAGTGGGGTCGGGGGGCGGGGTGAGTCCGCCCTCGATGTGGGCGGCGATGATGGGGCCGCCGAGGTCTTTGAGGAGCAGCAGGAGGTCGGTTGCGTCGCCCACATTGTTGAACATGGCCTCGGGCCCCCAGCCGTCACGCTCACCCCTGAAACACAGACAGACACAGAGAGACAGCCAAGGGATATCATTCACGAGGCACCAACAGCTTTCCTGTCATCGGTTGCTCACTCACTTGTAGAGCAGTTTTGGGGTCGCATCCGTCATGCCGGTCGCGTCGACGAGTGCTCGCAGGTCATTGTCAGACACGATGGGGTCGGCCGGCACAGCACTCCACACCTGCAGAGAGAGAGGAGAAGGATCTCATGATATGCACAGTCCCTTTGTGTGCCCTCTGGCTGATGCCTCGCTGACCGACCTGGAAGACCTCCACTCGCTGGACGGCGACGTCGTGGGTCTCAGCGCCACAGAGGCTCGCATACTCGCTGTCAATCTTCTTGCCCACAGATTTCCTGTTGGCCGGCAGCTTCTTCTTCTCCACCCACTGGTGACAGCGGAGAAGGTCGTCAGTCGGGCCGTCCACGCCACTCCCCAACCACAGGCGGCCGCCAGCGATGCACACCTTGCCCCAGGGCACACCGTCCTTGGTCGTCACCGCCCCCTGTGTGCCCGCCACCCTCACACACTGCTGGTGGTCCTGTGGCACGTCGATCTTGGTGATGCCCTCTCCGAATGCACCGCACACAGAGAAGAGCGACACCGGGCAGCAGAAGCACAGCTGAGATGTGGGGTCGGCTGGCAGCTGCAGCTTGGTGTCGGCGAAGGCTGCGATGGTGTTGGTGTCGTCACACTTGATGACGAACAGGAGGCCGCGCCGCCCCACCACCCGCTGCGCCATGCTCGCATACGACGAACCTTGGAGCGAACTCCTGACACACACAGACGTGCCGACGAATGCTTAGAGAATGGCGCTATGGCCCCTCTTTGTCTTTCCTCACTTGAAGAGGCAGAGTCTCTTCGGCTCCTTTTTGCCGAGCATCTCGAGGAGGGTCTGCAGGACGTCGTTGGCGAGTATGTTGGGGTACATGGCCTCGAGGACGCCGTACATCTCACTCACACGCACCAGCTCATCCTGGTCGGCACACGTGGGCGGCGGGACGACGGCGCCATCGGGGGAGAGGCGACACCGACGAGCGAAGCCGACGATCCTGAACACACCAACAGACGAATAGATCCGCTCTGCTGTTTGCTGCTGTTTGCCTTTGGTGGTTGTCCGGGTGCCTACAAGTCGAAGTGGTGCGCAGACACATCGACGATGGGAGTGCGACCATACCTGCACACGCGACACAGAAGAGAGAGAAGGAGAGCCAATGATCACCATAACAGCCTCTGTCATCTCCTCCTTGCCTTTCTCACTTGGTGAATCGGTCGTTGAGTGTGTCGAATTTGGTCAGCGTGGCATCGGTGGTCGCCACTGTGCGGCCGTCGACAGTCACACTGAGCACCTCCGCCCCTCCCCTGCCGCCCTTTATGGACGACTTGATGAAGACGCCCATCATGGCAATGAAGCTGCGGAATGCCGACGGGCTCTCGCTGTCCTCAGTCGGTTTGTCGATGGCGATGGGCGACTCGGCGAAGAACATGTCGTGGTAGAAGGGGATGGGCTGCACGGCGTCGAACATCTCGATCTCGTCGACCCACCCATGCTTCAAACGGCAGAGTTTCTCACACAACCTGACACACACAACCAACACACACACACACACACACACACAGCAATGAGTCAATGAGTGAGTGAATGAGTGTCATTGGCTGCATGCTCCCATCGTCCCTCACCAGATGAAGTAGATGGGGTCTGCGTCGATGAAGATCGTCCCGTCGGCATCCTTGTGCATCCACTCGTCGAACCGGTGCAGCAGCACCGCCACACACGTGCCCCGCAGCCCCTCGCGCAGCAGCACCCCACTCGGGAAGGCCATGACATAGCCGCCGACGTTGATCTGCGTCACGCTGCCGCTCATGGTGCCTCCCGTGGCCTGGCTGCTTCTGGTGGATGATGCCGCCTGCATGCGGTCAGAGAAGCAGATGAATCACGGGACAATCTTGTGTGCTGTTTGAGCTGGCGATGCAAAGCACTCTCGCGTGGCAGATTAGGGAAGCGAAAAATTGCTTCACCTCAAATTGCTTGAGCTCGCAGGTGTGGGAGAAAGAAAGGAAGGCGAAGATGAAGCAGGTATGGAAAGGAGGCCTCATTCGCCACAAAGATCTCGATATCTCTTTCACATTCCATCGCCTCGCAGGACTCGTTCGATGAACACAGCGCGAGATGAAGGAGGCGCATTTCTTCTCGTGCGTCCCTCTGCTTGCCGCTGCGGTGGTCTGCTGGTCCGTCATCAGCAGCTGGGACGACTACCTCGGCCCTCTCGAGCCCTGCAAGCAGGTGCAATTCGACGACTCACGACTCATTGCCACTGATGGTGATACAGCAGAGGGCGGATGGTGGAGCATCGCATCGTTGATTCCCTTCCTCGGCCGCCAGCCTGGCAGATCTGTCGACCTGAATGCCATCGGGACGGCCTCTCGCGACGAGAGATACGACCCCCTCACTCTGCGTGTCGACGTGAGGAAGGCATGCCGGCTCTCTCGGCAGCAGACGACGGCCAAGGCCAAGCTGGACAGGCGGCCCGCCGTGCCCGACGGCTATGAGGCGGTTATCCTGTGTGTGCTGGACGAGAGGGCTGGGT